TGGTTTCACTGAGTGCTGCCGAAGACTTAAAAAGTAAAAGCTACATAATAGACAAAATATGCATTATGTTAAAGCCGAAAAAGTGACCCACAAACAAAACTGCGCGCTATAATCCCATCAAGATCACAAAACTAGAACTGTGCTCCTCTGATCGACGCTTCCCCCGAAGTCATTCTAGTACACCTGCATGTTGTATTCCACCATAGATGCTTGTCTTATCCGACAATTCGCCAACTCACGAAAATTTAGTACTCTACATAGTAATCGTCCCTCTCCCATTTTAAGTAGCAGTTTTGTCTGCGCTTTTGGCATAAAAGCTAGCGTCTCTTTTTGTGTTAAGATTTTTCCAATTATAAGGCCTGCAATTAAGGAATCTAAACCGGCTAATGCAGACTCGCACCTTTGATCTCAAAGTACACATCCCTAGCATTATGATTCCAGCAAGGAATCTGGGGGTTTTATAATTTTCATTTGCAAATGTATACCACTTCGATGCAAATACAGAAAGGATATCCCAGATCAAGGCGGCTTAATTGGATTGGAATTTGCATTTGACTGGTCTATAGAAATGCGGCTAAAAATAAGGTAGATAAAAGAACGCATCAATACTCGTGCCGCGTAATCATCATCATCATCATCATCACCATCATCATTATCATCATCATCATCATCATCATTGTCATCAGTAGCAGCAGCAGCATCATCATCACCATGACAATACCAATATCAGTGCGTGCATGTTTCGGTTCTGTCCCGATAGGTACAACGTGCAGGTCTTGAGCCAACCGCTTAGAGGTCTGTTCGTGCAACGACAGTACTAACCGGCTGGTTGACAGACTCGAGCACTCGACTGGCGCATGAAAGGAGAGGAGATAGACCGAGGTGGGTAACCCCTCCCCATGGCACCTCAGTGCACTCCTCACTATAACAGATCTGAATCGACTGAACCTATCACGACGCGCTAGAATCCATACATTGAAAGGTTGCCGACTGACTAGATAACTCATTCCGCACGTAGAATGACTAACTCGAGGACTGAGAGTCAGACTCGACGACCTCTGCGGCAAGCCCACTCACACGGGACCCGAGCCGCCCCTTTTTGTGAAACCCCTACACACCGTGCAAAGCCAGACCGTGTGTGGGACGCGCAGACGTGTCGTTCAGCCTCGTTAGTTACCGCCTTTGAACCCGCCTCCGGCCGTTTTGTGCCTTGCGGCCGGTCCTGGGTGGGCAAGGGTGATGCTATAAGCAGACTACAGCCTTTCTATTCACCCATTTATATGGGGTCATCGCGTTTTGCGTGCACCCGTCTAGGCAGTCGTCCTTTGGCTGCTTGTCTTCTGGTTCACCTCATCATGGGCACCCGCGTATACAGTGCGTGACCTATCTCATGAAATGTTGGCTGAAATTCAGAAATGCGCTTTCGATCAGGAAGGATTACTTGGTCGCGGTTGTAAAACTGATTATCTTGTGGCATACTCTTATAACATTTTGGACTCGGCAGGATGTCGGCTTTTAAATGCCCTCCTTTTCAATCTCCTGTAGAAAGCGTGCTCGGTTAAAAATGACTACTTAAGTAGCATGCATTTTCCCCATTGATTTTCGATGGTCTTGGAAATTCAAATATATTTTATAGAAACCACAAACAAAAATATGCTTCCTTTTAGTCAATCAATAGAGAATCACGTCTTCTTTATATTTTACACTTAAGGAAGGAGTATAATTAGGTTTTAAAAAAATTTCTAATTATGAGACTTTTTAAGACCGCGAAATGTCCATTCACATAGCATCGTACCTGACCGTTTAGCACTGCTCCTCATGAAATGTACACTATGGTCCGCAACCATTGCACAATTTTATGGACTCTGTATGAAAGCCCTTTAATGGCATCAAAAAATATGTTTTTGTCTTTGCGCGGAACGCATGCACCTTGTAGAGTGTAATCACTAAGCACTAATGCAACGAATGATCAGGCTCCTAATTATTCGGCGATCAGAAAACTTTTTTAAAACCTAATTACACTCCTTCTTTAGGTATAAAATATAAAAAAGACGTGATTTTCTATTGATTGACTAAAAGAAAGCATATTTTTGTTCATGGTTTCTATAAAATATATTTGAATTTCCAAGACCATCGAAAATCCATGGGAAAAATGCATGCTACTTAAGTAGTCATTTTTTACCGAGCACGCTTTCTACAGGAGATTGAAAAGAAGTGCATTTAAAAGCCGATATCCTGCCAAGTTCGAAATATTATAAGAGTATGCCGCAAGATAATCAGTATTACAACCGCGACCAAGTAATCCTTCCTAATCGAAAACATATTTCAGAATTTCAGCCAACATTTCATGAGATAGGTCACGCACTGTAACTGTAGTTGTAGCTGGTTGGATGGTTATTGCTGAAGTTTACAGATCGTGCCGCTTTGTCGCCCTCCTGAAAAGAGTTATATGCCAATAGTACCCTGCTGTGTGTGAACACATATGACATGAAACACTATGAAAAAGTATGTCTAGTTCGGCACCACGTGGGCATTATCAGACAAGCAATCTGTTCGCCCCCCCCCCCTTGCTCCATCCTGAATTCTACGGACGTGAACACTACACCCCGTCCCCTGAATGCCAGCACTTGGTCTCACGCATGGATGAAAGCATCATCTACTCACTAGATTCAGATAGCCGTCGCGTGGGTCTTCCACCTCCAGCGACCCCATTCTTCGCAAGTCAAGATCTACACAGAATGCAATTAGCAACAAAGACAAAGGAGACTGGGATGCCCATTTCTGGTTTATTAGCCGTCGTCAGCCAATCATACTCAATCCGGCTGACTACTGCTAATAGGTCGGAAATGGCCATTCCAGTCTCCTTTGCCTTTGTCGATAACTGCATTCTGCGAATATCATGCGCCGCTGTGCGGCTGGTGGTTGGGCTCGAGAGAGCCCGTAAGACACAACGGAACGAGTGAGTTCCGTAAGAACGATCGGCGAGCGCCCCATATGAAACGCAATATCTGGAGTCAGCAGTCTAGCTGGCGGACGCAACGGTCAAAACGGGGGGGGGCAAGAAACCATCCAGTGCCGGCCCAACTACTCGAGGCTGCCGGTCGCAAGGCAGACAACCAATGGGTGCTCAAGGAACGACACACGTGCGGGTCCAGGGTCTCCTGAAAACCTCCGGCCCATCGTGCCACCGACTGGGACTCTAGACAAAATAGTTGCGGAGAGGCGACCATTGTGATCCACCTTTGTCGTTGGAGACTATGGCGTCGCAGTCCACGCGTTTTCGAGAAATTGGAAGAGGCGGGCCTGCCGCCTGACGAGGGTGCAGCGTCAAAGAGGGCATTCAGCCGTGGGAGAAAGTCTGACAGATTCTGACCCGCGCACGGGTCCCCAGCTGGAGTGCCCCTACCATTGCATATTCCCGACCGAACCCAACAGGGCAACCGGCTCGTCGCCCAGTGGTTAGAGGCGTGGACTTCTAAACCAACAGGTCGCGAGTTCGAGCCCCAGGCGTTCCACACTTTGGGGTTGGGTATGACTGGCTGACGACGGCTAATAAGCCAGAAATGGCCATCTCAGTCTCCCTTATCTTTGTTGGTAATATCATTCTGCCTATATCATTCGCCGTTGTGCGGCTGCTGGTTGGGCTCGAGAGAGATCCCTTAAGGCACAACGGAACGAGTGAGTTCCGTCAAAACGATCCGTGAGCGCCCCTCTGCAATTCAATATCTGGAGTCAGCAGCCAACCTGGCGGACTCAACAGTCAGGACGAGGGAGACAAGAAACCATTCACTGCCGCCCCAACTACTCGAGGTTGCCTGTCGCAAGGCAAACGACCAATGGGTGCTCTAGGAATGACTCACGCGCGGGCCCAGGGTCTCCTGGAAGCCTCCGGCCCACTGTGCCATCGACAGGCACTCTAGACTACACAGTCGCGGAGAGAGCGGCCATTGTGACCCAACTTTGCCGTTGCAGGCCATGGCGCCGCAGTTCACGCGTTTTCGGGAAATTGGGAGAGGTGGGCCTGCCGTCTGACGAGGTCTCAGCGTCATTTTGCGAAACGCCCTCCACGTTCATACCCCCTCACTAACTCTGGACTCAAGACACCGGCAGCAGGATCTAACTGAAGTCAAGGAGGGCATTCAACCGTGGAGGAGAAAGCCTGACAGACTCTGACTCCCAGAGAAGTCGAGCGCACGAGTCCCGTGTTGAAGTGCGTTAGGGAGACTTGTTTCTCTCGAATGCAGGCGAAATTTGGAGTTGCAGGTGTATGCATAAGTGAAGAAGAAGAGTCGAGCACCGGAACACTGCTGGAGTGCATTAGGGAGACCTATTTCTCTGCCTTGCTTGCAGAGCCGCTTGTTTATAGCTGAGCAAATGCCCCAAAGAGACTAACTCGGCATTCGGGTGGCTTTTGCCCCCTCACAGGGCTTAAGGCCTCCAGTTCGAAGGCCTGACCGTAATTTCTCGGCCCCTCCAACTCAAAAATAACGCAGCTCCTCCCCCCCTTCCCCCCCCCCACCCCACCACCGACCAGGTCCTAATGTGCACACCGCAAAAGTCACAGTATGGAAGCATAAAATACACCAGGTGTTAAAAGTGACCCAGAATTCGTGATCCCACGCCTGTGAAAATAAAACAGAACTTAAGATCCGTAGTCATAACTTGAGCGAGATGGGGGCCGGCGAGGTTCGCTAACAAGAACGGCATGGTTAACGGCAGGATAGTCGCCCTCCGACAGGTCGATCACAAGTTCCCGCCTCACGGCCCACCTCCCTCTCATACTTTAACTCGAAAACCCTACAGGCCTATTAATTGGATGAAGTGAAGAGGCGAAGTATCAAAAGTCAGTCACTGTTATTAAAACAAAAAGAACCAAAGCGAAAGGGGAAAATAAAACTACTAAAAGTGCTAAAACAGTTAAAATACAAGCGAGTCCTTTGCAAAGCCCCCGTAGGTTAAGGGGAAGGCGGCGGACTGAGGAAGTGGTTTTGCGGTTGTCTTTAGGGTATGGCAGTCACTTCTCGGGATTTGAGGTAGTCGAGAATGGCATAGGCGATGAGGGAGAGGAAAACGCCACAGCTCATGGCAATGCCAAAGGTCATTACTAGATCCTGCAAGAGTAGGGAAAGCGTCACAGCATTTGCGGCAAGACATTCGCCGGTCATCTGAACCGAGAAAAAGACTGCCAGAGATGAGTGAGAGATAGAGAGAGGGAGAGAGAGAGACAGAGAGAGAGAGAGAGAAAGAGAGGGAGAGAGAGACAGAGAGAGAGAGAGAGGGAGAGAGAGAGACAGAGAGAGAGAGAGGAAGAGGAGAGAGTAGTTACCATGCGATCCGACACAATCACCCCTGTCTTGGTGAAATCTCGTTGCAGGAGCAGAAACAGGCATCTGTTGTGGCGTCAGAGTGAGTTGAAATATTAACCGAAATTCTGAAATGCGTTTTCAAGTCGAATAGACTACCTACGTAGTCCTGCAATACTAATTATAGCTTGGTAAAATACCAAGATATTCCAGTCACGACAGGATTCCGGCTTTCAAACTACATTCCGTAAAGAATAGCTACTTAAGTAGCATGCACATTGACTACTTATTTTTGACCCTTATCAATTCAAATATACTTTACAGAAAATATGCACAAAAATTCTTTCTTGTGTTTGTTTAGTAATAAGTACGTCTTAATCAAATATTATTCCGGAAAAAAGGAGTATCTTTTGGTTTGAAGAAAGTTTGTAATTATGAGATTTTTCAAGATCGTGAAATGCCAAATCGTACAGCATCGCATCAACACGTTTATTAATGTTGCTTATGAAGTGGACAGCATGGTTCACGTATGCAGCTCGTTATTCGGAAACCTCGAGTGCAAGTGTAACGGCAGGTCACATTCGAAATTATTCGGGAATTGAGAAAGTTTTTTAATACCGAAAAGTAGTCTTTCGTCACGTACAGAATCTGAAGATGTGATTTACTATCAAATAAATGGAAGAAAGAATATTCTTGTGCATTTTTTCTACATAATATATTTGAATTTATAATCATGTCAGAAACCATGGGTAAGAATACATACTACTTACGCAGTCATTTTTGCGGAATCCAGTTTGTGCAAGCGACCGATAAAATGCTCATTAGAAGGCCGGCACCATGACGTAACTGGAATATCTTAACACTACACCACATGACAATTAATAGTACAACCCTACTCAAGTAATACTTTGGAACTGAAAACACATTCCAGAATCTCAGTCAACATTTCATGAGATAGCTTATCCACTGTAGGGGGGGGACATAAAAGATGTCATTTCCAGACATCCACCCAGGCATCGAGCCTCTTTCTGCAAAAAAACTTCACATCGATCATGGCAACGTCTGTCGCATTTCGTCATGTATTATTTATTACGGGCAAACAGACTGGCAATAGTAGTAGTAGGGGTGGTGGTGGTGGTGGTGGTGGTAGTAGTAGTAGTAGTAGTAGTAGTAGTAGTAGTAGTAGTAGTAGTGGTAGTAGTAGTAGTGGTAGTAGTGGTAGTAGTGGTAGTAGTGTTAGTAGTGGTAGTAGTAGTAGTGGTGGTGGTGGTGGTGGTGGTGGTGGTGGTAGTAGTAGTAGTAGTAGTAGTAGTAGTAGTAGTAGTAGTAGTAGTAGTAGTAGTAGTAGTAGTAGTCATTCATACAGAGACTACAATGGTGTTTCTGATAATCGACCTGATTGTCACAAGTGGACTGACGCCTGTGGGATTAAAGGATTTCTGCTTGGTCTCAATCTACAAGGTCGTTGCGGTGGCTGACGAAGAGAGCGCACGACTGCGCGATCGGCTCATTCAGCAACGCCGCTGTCTATCTGCCCAGAAGGTATTTCCCGTGATTCGCAATAAACCGTTTGAAGAAGCAGATGGTTTAAGACAGCCCGATGTTAAATATTTGGTTAACAGACACTGCCAGGACGACATCGGTACTCGAACCGATGCTGCTCTCAGAATCTTTGGAAGCATTCGAGGACGTCGATTGAGTTGTTGCGATGGCTCAGTCGCCAGTAGAATCCGCGCGTACAAGGTAACCGTCCGTTTAGTGAATGTTTGACATGAAAGAATAGACAAGTGAAACGCAGATGTCCTGAACTATCGTTGGCCTAGAATTATCAGTCGTGTGAAGCAGACGAAATTCGTCTCGGTAGTCTACAGTCTACGCGATAGCATGATGGATGCTTCAGACCATTCAAGAAAAACGACCAAGGTAGTCTGGACAGCTTGTTCATCGACCGTTGACAGTCCGAGCCCGGAATTGCTGCCTAACTGGAGACGAAGGAGACGATGTCAGCTAAACGCCCAGTTCCACACAGTCCATCAAGAGTTGCAGGCGGTTCTTGGACTGATAAGAAGTGGAAGCGATCGCTGGAACAAGGGCTTTATTCACCTGACGTTTGCGATTCTCGCTTGAACCCATCATCAGAGGCGGCGACATTTTCTGTCACTGATCAGCTATGAAACCCCTGAGGTAAATACAAAGTCGTTCGCTGCACGCTGCGAGAACCACCGCTGTGCCAGATAGGACACAGTGGTCACTTGCATAATAATTTGTTTACAGCGAAGCAGACTTGGGAAGAATCCAAACCGCTCTCTCTCTCTCCCTCACCCGCTACCCCCATGTCAAGACGTAACCAAGGCGGCTGGAGATAAACGCGAGCTCAGTGGTCGAAAAGGCTGGAGCTTAGGAGACCATGCGCCTCGGTGCTACATCATCTACATTAAAACATTCGACGTGGTCTGGAACCCCTGTAGACATAACACTTGTTTGAGCATACGACAGAGTTTGCATTTCTCGATCTACCTTAGCAAGTCCCCTGACTGCAAAACTGCATTCAGACTTTCTAAAAGCGAGAAGAAAACTGGCGATAGCCTGGGAACTTCGCAAAGTTTAAATCACCAAATCAGTATCTGTATCTTACTCGAGTTCGAAAAACGTGGGGAAAATGAAACTATCTTTTCTTACGTAAAATGGTTTTGCAGACCTCTTCCGGTCGACTTTGGCTCGCAGACTAGTTAGATCAGTTTTCGTTATTTTTCGCTGGTTGCTGCCTGAGAGGAAAAAGGATGGATGAGAGTAAAAGTCGATCAAACATGCACGAAAATATCGTATGGCAAGGAGAAATTTGGAGGCAAGTTCAAGAGTTAACTGACACAGGTCACGCAAGTCTTGAAAATGCATAAATGTTCGGGAATGGCAAGCAGACGGACCTATTGCTCGGCGATAATTGTCCAGAGGAGTAGCATTGGAAAAGCTTTTTCGTCCCATGATTTCAAAGAGTGATGTCCGGGATCAGAATGAACTGGAACGTCCACCTAGGTCTTTCAAAACACACATTCTAGTTGTTGCGGTAGAGTTTGGTAATTGCAGCAGCGGTTTTGCAATGAAAATAAACAACAACCTCAGGATGCTTGATGATGCTACAGACAAACCATACCGCTGACACCCAATGGTTTCTGTCAGAACGCTCCTGATGTAGGCCGACTGCAGATCAAATATCTCGCAAAAATTGCCTTCCGAATAGAATCTACAAATTCTATCCTACAGCATTAGCTTATCGGCTACACAGCCTTCCTGATCGGCTTTTGGAGGGAGAGACTACAATCACGAATAAAGGCAACGCATCCGTTAATCCAAGATGCAAGGATGACGACATACAAAGGCTAAAAACCACGACGTAAAGCTCTTAGAGGCTGCTTGTAAGGCATTTGTGGTATCCGTAACGAAACGGAACTCCCTGAAGTCCGCACGCATGTCGGGCACCACACAACAGAATAGGACTTTCAAATAATGAGAATATATAATAACAAAACGGGTTAATAGCAGTACATCGGACAGTAAGGTGAGGCGAATAGTTAATGACATTAAGCTGAGGTCAACAAGTGTGTATCAAACGCAGATGGCTGTCAGAGGGAGCGAACACTCATAAAAGACGATTGTTGTGATTTATCAACGGGATCGAGGGCCCAGAAGTACACTCTAAGGACAGACATGTGCGTGGCATGTCTAGCATGTGTTGGCATGATGGAGTAGGAGTGGAGTAACCAAGAAAGGCGGCAAGGAATGGGAGTGAGATGCTGGACAACCGAAGGCTTGAGGCGACTAGGATGAATTTTCAGGATCCGCCCGAGGGGATCGGATTCCTGACGGATGCCGCAGACGAGGGCGGCGAGTGCAGGGACCACTGACGACGGGACTTGCCTGCACAATCTAGAGGGTGGTGGAAGAAATGTTCGTACTCCGCCTCATGCGCTAGACAATCACAGTGACAATCCTTCGGCTGAGAGTGCGCGGCTTGCAATTTCGTCCTGTAAGGAGTCCATGAGAGGACCAAGACACCACAGAGGGTGTTCCATCAGGAGAGCAGCATGTGCCCCAATTTAATCTGAAGGCAGGTGCAGGTCTCGATCAAAAACTACCATGCGGACAGTAAACGAAGAAGGGGAGTTAATGGTGAAGCGGTAGGCCAGGGGACACCGAGGCATTTGCCTGGGGTGGCGGAATACAACAGTTGGGTGAAATCGAATGAAGTCGATTTCTAAACGCGTAGAAGGCGACAGTCAACCTGCATATGGCGTCTTTCAAAGACTGCCCCAAATCTGTGCATGTAGTGTAGGAAAGTGTAAAACGAGCGATCTTATGGTTAACAAGTGTCGCTACTACAGTGAAATTTCCTTGGCTGAAGGACCCAGCGGCTTCACATCGGTTTGTGAAATAATCCTCGATAAACAGAATGAAGCGGTTTCATCTCCTCATTCGTACAGGGATCCGATAGACTATTTCGGCACGGTAGTTGGGAAATTCACCTAATGGTGTGCCTGTATGAACCGCCGAGCAGGTGCGACAACCAAAGAACGGCCTACCAGAGGGTTTGTGATGGTCACACTTGCAAACGGGTACCTGGTGTGTTTGGACTGCCGGCAGTACGAACAGTCCTCTAAATTTTTTGAGTTGCTAGATGCGTAACGGGCGTCCTGCTGTGACGAAGCAGACTCAAAAATCCGCATGGGCATGAGAAGACCGCGGGCGGGTTAAATATGAGTGCCGTTAGATGGTTCCAGATCGGAAACCACCAGAAAGACGGAGAAACACTTGGTAAGAAACCTCGGAGTCCGGGAAGACACTACTGTCGAGGTTGATGAGGACGTCGAGGTCAAACATGGCGTCTTTCTCGAGGTGTTACGTGCAGAGATAGAACTGGTCGTCACGTATGAACAAAGTTTACCGGAGTCTACAAAGAGTTTCGAACTCTCCCTATGGCGTGCGGTCCACGGAGGCAGGTAAGACGGTGTCTAGTTGATTAGTTTATGAACCCCAGGAGGTGATCAAATCCAGATGAGGAGTAGGCACAGAGGATAACGTTCGGCCTGTACGCACCAGTCGCCAGGTTCGCATATCAAAAGTTCGAGGGAGTCCGAAACTGTCGATGATGACTGAGTGAGGATTGTGTCAGTACGAGGCACGACTGAGAGCATAACAGTCCGCGCGGTAGTTGCACTCAGTAGAGCGGAGTATAGAGAGCAGGTGGAAGATAGAAAGGTGCCGACATGGAACAATGAAGACCGACCAAGGAAAGCCGAGAGGGTGCGTTCAGTTGAGTGAAGGTGAAAGGGGCCAATTTGTAAACGCGTAGACGGCAACTGACAACCTACAAAGGGCGACTTTCAAAGGTGGCCCCAAATCTGTGTAGGTGGTGTAGAAAAATACAAGGCGGGCGATCTAGCGGTCAGAAAGTGCCGCTACTGCAGTGGGGAGCATCCCCACGTCCTCATTCGGAGTAGTAATCCAATGGTGCCTATGTCGGTACAGTAGCTGGGGAATTCACTTGAAATCTAATTGTGCGCCGGTATGAATCATCGAGCCTTTGATTCGGACGTAGGTCTGACAGCCAAAAGACGACGTACATGAGGGCTTGTTATGGCCGCACTTGTGAACCCTTTGTTTGGCAGTACTAACGCGTTCCTAGTGTTTTTGAATTGTCGGCAGTACCAAAAATCAGTCAATTTGAGTTTCGGGAAAAGGAGATTCTCGGTCGAAAACCTGGTACATAACGGGCGTCCTAATGTGACAAAGCAGACTTGACAATCCACACAGTTTTCACGGCCATAGAGGACCGTGGGTGGATCGAATACGCTTCCGGATCAGAAACCACCAGAAAAAAACGGGGGAAGACTTGCTAAGAAACCTGAAGGTCCAGAAAGACACTGTCGTCGCAGATGATGGGAACGTAGAGGTCAAGCTTTGCGTCTTCTCCGAGGGCAGTTATGTACAGAGACAGCACTGTTTGTGACAGATGAATAAAGTTTCCTGGGGTCCAAAAGGGTTTTCGGGCAGTTTGCAGAGGCAGGAGAGAAAACTTCCCGCTGATTGGCTTATGAACTCAAAAAGGTGAGCGGTATGCGATGGAGATAACGTTCAGTATTGGTGCGCACTCACCAGATTCGCATATCAAAAGCCTAAATGAATGCGACGACCGGAGCAGACCGAGGTTTGGCAAGCAGGTGGACGACAGAAAGGTGCGGACATGATGTAATGATGACTTTTAAATAATGAAAGAACATGACATCAAAGGGAATAGTGATAGAACGGCAGACAGCTAGGTGAGAGAAGTAGATAGCGACGGCAATCCTAGCCGAAACCAACGACGAGAGAGCGACTGCACACAGGCAACGTCTATTGTCGTGCTTCTGCAAGCTTGTCGACGAGGTCAATGGCCTAGACGCAGTCGCCCCCAGTCATGCATCATCGATCAGTGATTGACCAGCACCTCATATAATAGTTGCTGGTTATGTTGCTGCTACTATCTTCAATATGGACTTCCGCACGAATCCGAGCGCTTAGGACAATAAGAAACTGCTACGGTACTTTAGCAGTCTTCTTACATGGAGCTCAGGTTATTGGTGGTCCCGCCTACCAGAGCGGCGTCAAGTGCGGGACGAGTCACTCAATAGTCCCTGCAAACCACCTCCTAACAAGCTTCTGAATTCAATATTTACTTCATATACGACCGACAACCACACGATCCTTCTAAACTCACCGCCAGTTGGAGAGTTCCAGTTGGGAAGCTCACTATCACCGGTCTACAGGGTCTTTTTTCTGCCCGGCTGACAGCATATTATATTTCCAACGTCAGTTCGCACCGCTCCTAGAACATACAGTTGTTCCCAAAGTCATCCGTAACATCCACAGACAGCACGCCATTGCGGTCAGGCTGCAGTCAGTCAACGACATTAGTGGCCAAGGAGTGACGCGATGTAGTCTTTCTCAGTCAGACCTGGAGCGCCTACGCCCAAAACAAAGGTTCCACGCCTTATGCCTGGCGCCACTTGAACCGATGTCAGTGGGATTCCCCAACCCTTGTGACAACATAGACATCATTGGACCACTGTAATGAACAAGGAAGGGAAACCGCTTCATCTTGGTCCTCGTGGATTAGTTGAAAATTTGCTATGAGCTGATAACGATCCCCCAACAAACAGGGCCCCATCTATTGACCACTGGATTGCTCACTTCGGACTTTCTCCCATCGTTCGCGTAGATCAGGGAACACTTAAAGAAATACAAACGACAGTGAGATGTGTGTAAACGTGAGGCTAGTAGACCGAAGGAACTATGTGCTGTGAATATTGCAGAGCACTTTGGAGCATCCCGATGTTACATACATAGTGGCGACAGAGATCTTGTTCCGACCCCGGCGCTGTTTCTTTGAAACGGGACAATGGAGACAGAGAACCAAACGAAAGTATTAGCCCTCTCTATCTCCTTTAAGTCAATATTCACTCATGAGACGAATCGTTCCTCTCTCCTACCCAGAACAACGACGTAATTCTGCATCGTTTGCATTAGAAGATAATCTTTACTCCTTGCCTTAATCGATAAGGACAAAACTAATCCGGCCCAACCATGTTAAATCACCTGGCCCAGATAGAATTCACCCACTTGCCCTTCGAGAACCGTGCAAGCCGGCATCTACATTTCAAAAGTCCATGGAAGGTGAACTGCCACAGGAATAGAAAACGACTTTTATTTCCTCCAGCCTACAAAGTAGGGTCCAGGCTGGAGTCCGAAAATTACCGCCACATTAGTTTAACCTGCAGTTTGTGCAGGGTCATGGAACGACTTGTTAAGGGATAGTTACTGACGGAGGAACCTAATATGTGCTGCCCAGCACGGATTTTGTCGTGGTCACTCATGCCTTAAGAGTAGCCTTTACTCGCACGAAAAGCGGACAAAAGTCAAAGACCAGAGCCGTCCAGTGGATGTCATCCTTTTCGACGTCAAAAGTCATCTGATAGCGTTTCTTAAAGACGATCCCTACAGAAGATTTGGCAGTGTGAAATTCATGGCAACAGTTTAACTGGATTAGAAGCTTCCTGTCATGCATGCTGCAAAGAGCAGTTTTCGACACCATTGCATCTGAATGGGTACTAGCAGAAAGCTGCGATTGTCAGGGTCCGGTCTTGGGTCCCCTCGAAGATCTTGACTGCACTGCCATCATAGTTGCGGATGATATAAAAATCTAGAAAATAATCAGCTGCGCTAACGACGCATAAAAACTGCAAGAAAACGTTAATAAGCTGGCTACGCGGGCCAGAAAGTGGTTTCTAACGTCTAATATATCCAAACTTGGAAGGCGGTCAGGGACGTTCCCCAAAACACCAGTACACTATAATTGCGATTCAACTACATGAAGTGAATACACCCAAAGACCTAGGTATCTGGGCAAAATCAAACTTGCTGCCCTCCGAACACTGCAAAAGATCTGTCGAGAAGGCAATCAGCCTCATGCACTGAATTAGGGCGTGCTTTCGTAGTCTTTTCTCTTGAACTCTTCGCGCAGATATTAAGTACGTTCGTCAGACCGCATTTTGAATGCGGAGTTCCTGCTCAATTCCTACAGACAAATGGGGCGTAACCTGCTGTGGACATTCCGCGTTATCCGCGGACATGATTGTTCGGTCAAATCTGGAGATTTCTTCGAGTCTACAAACACGAGTCAGCCGTGTGGTCGAACGCGAACGCACGACTAGGTCAATTGAGGTTTTCTTTCAGCCAGCAGGTTGTTTAACCGTGGAACTCACTCCGAAGTGAAATAGAGACTTCCGATGTCATGTTTATATTTAGATGGTTGGGTTGTTTGGTTGTTGGTAACTGACGGCTCTCGCTGCAGGAACATCTGCTGTCAGCCGTAAGATTTACTTCCTGATTTCATTTCATATGTAAAGCACCCCCCGCGCGTCCGATGTAAAATTCTTCCGCAAACCTAACTAACCGCTATATTTGATGCTGACTGCATATAATTGCATTTATAATCTCGACTATACGTGAGTAAGGTCATAAAGAACCCCGCCCGTGGTCCTCAAATACACTCATACATCCCTGAAAGTCACCTTTTCCAGGCAGTTTGTCACCCGAGCGTAGACAAAACCGATCGTCTGCCTTTCGTCCGGCTGGATGCAGCAACAAGATCATCTGAGCGATACTCCGTTGTATGGCTGAAAAATGGCGTCTAGGTTACTTGATGAATCGCCTAAAACAGTGCGTCCTGGTGTGTGGGGTCATCCCAAGCTCTCTTCATCTACCCACCCCCCCCCCCTCCCGCGGTGTTTTTCTGCGGGAATTGCGTACCTATCCCCAATTCCTCGCGCCGAAGCAACCATACCTAATCTAGCTCCCTTTGATCGAACAACCCCACTGGTATTTTTGCCATTATCTGGACTACCTATAAACCATCCACGCCACGGTCATGACAGTTGCAAGCCGCACACTTGCACCAGGAGCACTACGACCACGCAACGCAATGCAAGCCAGGCTATCGCGTACGGTCGTATTGCGACCATCCAGGCAAATTCAAGCGTCCGGTAGCTAGACGAATCCCGCATCTCCACATTAGTCGCCCCAAATTAAGTGTGCCTGGATCTTAATCTATTCCAATTTCCGTCAACGTCTTACTCGGTCACTCCGCTGCACATACGTCACATCGAATACAATCCTAGTCATTTCATTTACTCTGCTCGAAAGTTCGACAGTGCCACACATCCCGTTATTTCCTCTAGGGCGGACGTCTACAACATAAAGCAGTGCACCTGACAGGAACTATTTTCCATAATCACTCGCCTCCTCTCTTGGCAGCCGAGTCTTCTTCCTCGCCCGCACAGACTGCACGTCAAATTTCCGTGAGTGTGTACTTGTTTTACCTTACTTCTCGATGTTTGGACATTATCTACTATTGGTATTATATTCCTTCATTATTCGAGAGTTTTACTATTGTGTTGTACGACGTATGACATGCGCAACAATTTTTGAAAACACTCGAACTCTTACAGTTGACTACACACCCTGTGCTTAAACATGCCGCTTGACTTTTAACTCAGTATAAGTTTAGGACCAAGAATGGTCTTTCCGTGCAATGACAGAAAGGTAGGTGGAAAGCAGGGACACTAATAAAAATAAAGGACATTTAGATCGCATGAAATATTTTGAAGGAAGGTATAAAATGAAGCATTTAACTACCACCAAAACTGTCTTGATAGTAGAAATTGATTTACGAAAAAAGATGGGCTCACCAGAACGGGTTTATTTGGGTACTGACATTTCGAAGAGCTTGGTCGGCTTTCCATTTTCAAATCGTGAAATGCACTTTACTGATCAGAAACTGAAGTTACCTGTCGCCTCGGTCGGTCTCATGCTGACCGATTTTTCTTTCCTCTCGTTGCCACGGTATCTCGGGGTGGGCTGGTGGGCGTTTTGTCTGCGTGTTTTGTGAGTCATTGCTTCGTCATGGAGAGGTGATTGAACCTCTGTCGGGTGGTCGATCTGACGTTTCTTATTCTTCCTCGCCGAGTAAACTCGTCGTCGGTCTCTCTCTGTATGGCCTTTTCAAGTGCAGCGTGGTTTTTTAGTCCTGAGCTCTATGAAAGTGAAGACGCATGATCTTGTAAGCTGCGGGAAGATCCAGGTGCCTATTTATGGAGTTGGCACCGGTGTACCACGCCTCAAACGTTAGCTATTTTGCTTTTGGTTTGTACCGGCCTAAGATGAGAGACCCAGGGGATCGGAAGCATGTCCAGTTCCTCTAACATGAGTTGTTAGTTGAGAGTTTTGGTCTAGCCTCCGAGTCGCCGACATGTGCTCTTTTAGACGGGTCTGAAATTTCCTCCCGAATTCCCCAACATAGTTTACAGTCACCCTTATTTAAGTTACTTTGTTGACAACTGCTGAGTTTTCAGAGCGTGGCAGCGTTTCCATAGGTTACATCAGACAGCGCCGAATTGTTGCCAGTGGTCGATGGGCTATGCCTACTCTGGCGGGTTGTAACAGTCAAGAGACCTCAATAGCAGTGAAAATGCGAGTCCCAGGTGGCATATCAACAGAAAAGGAGGCGTTCACCGAGGGAGGTGCATTTGAGGTCTGACGTTTCAAGTAGTCGTTTCTCCTACCCATCTTCAGAGACTGAGAAGTCATGCATACAGCGTTCATTATATGACGAACTTTGTTTGATGCCTGGCCCGCAAATGTCGCCTGTGTGGCTGCATCCGACGCGCATGTCACCGTGACCTGATTCCCGTCCATCTTCGTCGGCCGCGGCGATAGTTGATGGCCCCGATTATCCCGCGCCGTGACTGTCCCCCGTCAAGAATGTCCGTAAAACCGGATAGGGGGGGGGGGGCAAATTGATGTGGCGGTTGACAGAACAGTCGGCAGACATCCAGGCTTCTTGCACATGCTCTGCCGTATGATCATCATCTCGGCCCAAAAGTTCAACGGCGTCAAAATTGAAGGCTTGTGCCAGTTGGGCGGCATTTGTTGCTACATCTGACTTTGTGTCCAACCTTCGCACGGCCAACTTATGCTCGTGCATTCGCGTTTGCCCAATGTAGTTGAACATTTCGTAGCTGCATTTAAGTCGGTAGATAACGGTCGACATCTCCTGCTTAGAAACCGGGTCTTTTAGCCGCATCACTTGCCGGCGGATTGTTGAGTCGGGCCTGTAAGCAACGCCTATTCCGAGCGGCGCGAGGGATCTGGCTACGGCTTCGGAGATTCCTTTCATGTATGAAATGCCCCGCCACGATTTTGGCTGACTAGGTTCTTGATCGCGCTTCCTTGGTTGCTTTCGGCTTCGTTCAACGAATGTTCGCAGATAGCCGTTGGCTCTGAAAAGTTCTTGGAGTAGCTTCATCTCGTCCAGTTTGGGGGCTGGAGTGCTGCAATAAGTTCCCACCCGTCGGTATGGCGTGCGTACACAGCTTTGTTTGTGTCGCAGTGGGTGGTTGTTGTTGTAACTGAGCGTTTGCAGCGTGTTCGTCGGTCTTCTGTAGACTGACGCCGCCAGTTTGCCGTCTTGTTGGCGACAGACGGGAACATCCAAGAATGAAAGTTTGCTCTCCACTTCTTCTTCTTCCAAAGTGAACTGTAGGTCAAGAATGATTGAGTTCAGCAGCTCATCATAGTAGTTACTTTTATTCTGATCGATTATTACGAATGTATCATCAACGTAGCGCGCCCAAATCTTGTGTTTGTATTTCCCGAACAATCGTTTCTTGAGTTTTTGCAGAACCGCCTCGGCAATGAGTCCGGAGATTGGGGAACCCATTGGAGTGCCCTTAATTTGGTCATATGTGGTTCCCTCGAAGGTAAAAAATGTCTTGAGGCAGTGCCCCATGAGTTTTATGAGATCCTGAGCTGTGGGCTGGCCATCGCCCTCGTCGTAATTCTGACGTAGCAGGTCACTGATCGTCTCTACCGCAAGGGCCTGTGGTATGGAAGTGAAGAGTGTGACGACGTCAAATGACACCATCCTCTCATTCGGTTCGATCGTGACCGCCCTTATTTTGTCGAGAAATTGGTCTGCTGAGTTAACTTTTGTTTGTGAGCCCGCGGTTAGGAATCTTAGCTTCTGAAACAGCCAATTTGCGAGCCCGTATGTGGGTGTGCCTCAGAGTGAGATGATTGATCGGAGGAGAACATCTGGTTTGTGTACCTTTGGAAAACCGTAGAATCTCGCCATAGCGGTTTCTGTGGGGTTTGTCATATACCAGTCTTTGACGGTGATGACTTTTTCCTTCCTTAGTCGAGACAGAATTCTGTTAGCCTTCGCCAGTAGGGACTTTTGACTGGCGGCGTCGCTGACTATGTAGGACTCACGGTCGTTAAGGAACATGAGGGCTCTGTTTCGGTAATCATCTTGTCACTGATAACGGTTGACCGGCCTTTGTCAGAAGGCAGTATAACTATTCCGGTGTCCGCTTTCAACTATCTTGGGGCCTTTTGTTCATCTCTTAGCAGTGAATGGGTTTTTCGGTGTGACATGAGGAGTGGAGATGTTTGATGTCAGAGGAGGTATTATGCCTCGTCTGTGGCGCGGGTTTGACGTAACACAGATTCGAAAGAAGCAATGAATGTCACCGGGTCGGTGTCAGTTGTGTTAAAACCGGGTCCACGTTGTAGAACTTTTGTTTGGGCATGACTTCTCAGTCTCTGGAGATGGCTAAAAGAAACGACTACTCGAAACGTCAGACCTCCAACACACCTCTCCCGGCGAACGCCTCCTTTTCGTTTGATTCGAGAAACCGCCCGCGGGACCCCTTTAATGTACGAGATGGCCCTCCAGACCCTGGGTTGCTACTAATCTGGACATCGTCTTTGCGCTCGGTGTCTGCATCTCTCTATTGAATGTCTGGGATAACCATTAGCTGCAAAATGGTTCTGAACGCACAGCTTACAAAGTCCTGCGTCATCATGTTCATAGAGCCTTAGTAACGAAATGCCTCACGAATTGGACTGGTTTGTTTGAATGAATTGATAGTTTTTCTCCTGTAACATTAATCCAATCATTTTTAACTTTCTGTATGGAGTTTTTTTTCATCCTTTACTAATCATGTTTCTCAATGGACTACTAATTCAGAAACTATGAACTGCATTTTGTAAAGATTCTGCCTACCTCGTCTAAAACTCGCATGCAAATGTATTTTAACTTGCTTTGATTGGAGCCCGACGGGTTTTTAATAAAAATCATCTATCTATCTTTATCAAATAAACTGAATAAACTGAAAAACTTTACTGTGTTAATAGTGAACTATCTAAATTCATCCAGCCGTTACACGGAAATGGCGAAGAAGCACTTTGAAAACGCCCTCACGAATGCATTTTTGGATTTCGGTAAAGGCCTCTGTTCAAGGATTTTCAAGAATTTGTTGGACAGTAGGCGGAATACACCATAAAGCTTGGGGACCGCGGAAAGCCCTTGACCAAAATAATCTTGAAAGTGCTCAAAGGAGGGCAGCCAACATGTTCACGGTTCAGTGTTCCTTGCGCCACCCAAACAGCCCTTAAAGCCTGAACTTATTACCTCTGAGTCACAAACAAAACCATGGATATCGCTTACATGCATCCTGCATTGTGAGGTAGTTATATGGCGGTCTGGCCTTTGAAGATGTTCTTGAATTGTTTTCCGCGTTCAGCTTCCAAAGCCACCCATCAGAACTTGTGTGTTCAGTAGACTAGGGTATACGTGCAATATTCAGATTTCTCTCAGAATTATAAAGGTTGTAACGTGTCCCGTGCACATATTGAGAGGCCATTGTCAAAAAAGTCGTCAGAAGAAGAAGTTTGTCAGGTCTACTTTCCATAATGGGCCGGAAAACGTGAATCTGGTCTGACCCTAAGAGACGCATCTGCCTATTACCCCTTTTTTGGACCTATTGGAACTAGTTTTATTCTCCTGGTTTCTGTGTATGCTACCCCATCTTTTCATCACGAATGGTCCATTCAAAAGCTCAATCCTTTTTTTCTCTAATAAAAGTGGTGAACTGAACATCTCATATAGCATAATTGCTGCCGAAGCACTCGAATAATTGTCTCGTGGTGATGACGACATTCTTGCATAGAGCACCTCCGAGTGCCCCCTTTTGTAGGTACTTGAAGTCGATGCCAGGACTTCGGAGGTCGTTAATTGCACATAGCTGCTGAACTTTTGTGTTTTACTTAGAGATGTACGAAAATAGCGGTTAGAGTATTCCTAGAAGTTAGGAGACCTAGTGTGACGCACCACGATCAGAATGGGATTGTTTGAATGAGGAAACACCATTGGCCGGCGGACATCGAATGGAGGTGGCGTAACTGCGTATCGGTGACAATGGCCGGGGCCCTTCCCTCGCACCACCGCCGACCCCCTTCCCGCAACTTTCCGTGACGTTCGCATAGTGCGCGCTTCCTCTCACTCTCAACGTCGGAACCTCCCTCGCCCTCCCCTGCAGTTGCCTATAGCGCTACGTTCCCCACCGATTAATCAGCTAGCATTGCCAGTGTCGCCTCACCATCCAGAGGGGTTACGGCCCTGTTATAACTGATCTCGTTTATATAATTACTTACTATTATATGTATTCCAAGTTTCTATCTCTTCCCATCGTATCATATTGCCTATCTAACGTTTCTTCCCCTGTGTGTGGATGACTATTGCGGCAAGTCAACGGCAGTATTCAGATCGATCATATTCTGGACCTCTTTCCGCTGCCTCGCTACTTCGGTGTGTGTGGTATCCTTGACGTCCTCTGCCACGACATTAGCGACTTTGGTGGGACTTGAACCCACGCCCTTTCGGATCAGTGCGACGAATATAGCGGCCTAGGACGTCAAGGATAGCAGGCAAACGTAGGTAGCGGGACCCTGGAAGAGGTCCTAACTAGCCATTAAGCGTTCGCGGGTCTTATGCTGTCCATATCACCACCGTGGTGCGGTGGTTGTGTTCCGGAAGACGCCGAAGTTGACCTGGTGTTTTTGTGTTTAGCCGACTTCATTAAGTTAAGATACCTGAGAACGCTGACTATGGATCGTTTTTGTGTTCTATTGGACTCCGACTCAGCAAACAACTTTTTATAGATCCCTTATTAATACTGAAGTGCGACAACGTCCGTTTTATTGCGTTAGAATTAATTAATGCATATATTAATTCCAACGCATGCTAACGTACTCATGCTTAACCACCCATAAAAGGTGTCTTGGACATACCCCGATTTCCAAATAAACCGCAATGACTCCTCACATGGGTGGAAAAGTACAATACTGTACACTTCTTCTTTCGGCGTATAAGAACGATCGTTCTTGGTTGATATATGTTCTCTTTTTTGAAATGACAAAAACATATTGAGGATTTTACTTGAACTCAGTATTTTCCCTAACAGTAATATTAAAGTGTCTTGTTTAGAGGCAATACGATAGCATAGCGTCCCATTCAACCTTTTTTCCCTGACTGTCAGGGACGTTACTGGTCACCTCCACGTCAGTACTGACGTAGTCTTCCATTCTGTGGTTCCTTAGGATTCTCACATCTGCGAAACTTCCGAAGCATCCCGCAGTGGAGCGGACTCAGAAAGCCTGTATTAGGTCTTTCTGTACGCCCCTGTCGTGGCCTTGACAGTTGACCTAAGTTTTCGGAAATTAGGCTTTTGACATTCTTCCAACGATCCTGACGACATGTTTGCCGTCAATAGGTTGTGGAACACGTATCTTACGAGACACTTAAGAAAGAAAGCCCTTATAGTTTTCTCGCAGACCAGCATCTCGAGGTGAAGCGTAGTTTCGAGAAGGGATGGCAGAGGATCCGCATCTTGATTCCTGAAAAGCGCGATCATCGCTCATTTTAAAATTTCATTCACAGCCTCTTCGATGTGGGGTCGCCTTTTGTGCCTTCCGGGACTTCCATGGAATAAAAGACTTGTGCTCACCCACTAACTTAACTCCGTTGGTGTTAGCTACCTTCTACGAAGCTTCTTAGTACTGTTTATGCAATCGAAATGGAAGGGAATCTGCATATCTGAAATAATAGTTGGTAGTGTAAGAAGGGGAAAGTTATGTCAGGGAGGCGATCCATGTGGATGAGCAGGTGACGTCAACATGCCTACTAAACAACTGGTGTGGAATACAACGCTGTGGGCAGCTGTAGTAGAGGGCCGTGGAAGATGCTGACACGAACGTTACAACGAAGGGTGAAAAGGGTCGGCAGTTATGTGGGGAAGAGGCATCAGCTGTTTTCGCCAGCACGCGGTTGCACTATCTCCATCCTGAATCCGTCCCAAGAGTGTTAACTCCATTCAAACCACCCGTTCCATCCGGAGGGCTTTACAACTGAAGGCTCGCGCTGTTGCTGTAGTTCGATGGTGCAAACCCACGTTAAATGTCCGAAGTTTCACACCGTGTTACTGAGAAGAAGTGCATTTGCGAGAGCTGAGTTTGGGAATTACTCTAGGTGCCCGCGGGGAAAGCGTTTAACTACAAAGAAGACACACAATATTATCCAACTTAAATTAACTCTTTTCGTGTTGCAACGAAACTGCTTTTCGGTGTATATAAATAGACGCACGATATTACCGTAGTCGATTGTAATCGTGTTGGACTTCTTAATGCGTTATCGGTAATATACAAAAAGACAGGGTTTTAGGAAAATGTTGGGCACATTTAACTGTAGCGGTGGTTGCCTTCTGCGGCCCTCGAAGCTTCTGCTTTTTCCCTGGGGCAAGGGAGAATGTGTACTTCTTCACTGGCATGTTGGCACTCTCATATTTCCTTCAAGCATACATACCCGTTAGCGGCCCCTTTCATAAATGAAATGTTTACTCTCCTTTTATGCAGGTTTTTATCCTCGCAGGACAATAACGATTTCCGGTGATGTCAACTGAAGATATTCCGGAGTTGGTAGCCGTAGCTGATGATGATGACGAGGCCGTCGATCGTGTACCGGTCACCATTATCACAGGCTTCTTAGGTGCGCATATATGTCAATATATTTTCGTATAGTGATGG